AAAACCTTAAATTTTATCAAAATCAGCTTGACCAATTTAGGCCCCGTTCGGGAGGGATTAAAATCCAATTAAAATTGAAAATATGGTCGTTATTGGGTCCCACTCGTCTAATAAAAGTCAACAATAACGGCTATATTTTCAGTTTTAATCTGATTTTAATCCCTCCCAAACAAGCTATATATTTTAGTACCTACTTTAACCCTTCACCTTTTAATGACTGATTCTAATCATTCCTCCCAACACCTCAGGGTGAATGCATGCATATTGACTGCAGTAGGTGAAATACATTCAATATAAATAAAAAGATTTACAAGTGTGAGCATGTCTTTCCAGGTACTTCCACCCTGGATATGAGAGGTCTAGTTGTGGTGTTTGAACATTAAGCTAAAATTTTCATTTCAGCTTTAGCAAATAGAATGTGGAACATATGATTGTAATGTTCGTGTTTGACCACAAAATGAACTACTTTTTACGTACTCCTTGATCTTCCTTTTCTAAAATTGTGGTAACCTGCAGGGTTGACTGCTTTGTTATCTCCTACTTCCGGGATGCTGTTCAATACTTACAATCTTCCAAGGCCGGGGCATATTCTTATTTACGGACCCCCAGTAAGTTTCACTATTAAGCCTCCGTTCGTAAAATTTATAAATAATTTATAAATGGTCAAACTTCATTTCAACCACGAATTCCAATGACCCACAAGTACTATTCACTTATCCTTTACTCATTTCTATCTATTTATAAATTAAACTGTTTATAAATTCTTCCCAATGAAGGCTAAAGTTGTGAGTTTCTTTTTTCCTTTTATTTTTTTATTTTTTTTGAGTTGATATGTTGGATAGAAATGGAAACATTTGAGCTCTTTCAGCTTTACCTCAATTACTTCCTATGTTCCTTTCTCGAAGATTCGGTATTCGAGCTTGAGGAGTTCTGTGATGCCATAGGGTTTGGGAACTATGACATGGGGGTGGGGAATGAAGATAGATAAAGGACAGCTGATGAATACTAGTGAAGATTAGATCCACTTTTCCATTTCTTTCATC